GCAGTATCTGAAGTCTTGTTTGAAAAGCAACAAGCAAGAGAAAACAAACAATGGACAACAGGCTTCAACTGAACCCTGGTAAGACGGAGTGGCTGTGGATATGGAGAGCCTCAAGATCTAAGAGCTTATCATGTCTGGTTCTAGATGGGGTTGCATTACCCCAGACAGACCCGGTGCGTAATCTGGGGGTACTCCTAGACTCACGACTCCTGTTCGAAGAACAAGTGGCAGTCGTGGCTAGGAGGGCCTTCGCACAGTTTCATGTTGCGTTTCAGTTACTCTCCTTCCTGGATCAGGAGGCCCTCTGCGTGGTCACTCATGCCGTGGTCACCTCCTGTTTGGATTACTGCAATGTGCTCTACATGGGGTTACCCTTGAAGAGTATTCAGAAGCTACAGCTGGCAGAAAATGCAGCGGCGTGAACAATCTTGAACGTCCCTAGGGCAGCACATATAACACCTCTGTTACGCAAGCTGCATTGGTTGCTGGTTTGCTTCTGGGTCCAGTTCAAGGTGTTGGTTATCACCGTTAAAGCCCTTTGTGGCACAGGACCAGGTTATCTGAGGAGTTGTTTCACCCCCGTTATATCTGCCTGCCCCACTCGGTCCAGCAGAAGGGGCATGTTGCGGAACCCACCAGACAAGGAATTTCGGCTGGCAGGGTCTAGGAAGGAGGCCTTTTCTGCCATGGCCCCCGTCCTGTGGAACAGTTTGCCAGCTGAGGTGTGGGCTGCCCCCACTCTCCTGGCCTTCCGAAAAGGTGTAAAAACATGGTTATGCTGGATGCCCTGGGGCCTGAAGGGGGCTCGCATTGCTGGAGCTGGCTCGTGGGATGATTGATACTGCTTCCCCCATCTGCCTGATTTATATATTGCTTTTATAGATTTGTTATTTACGCTTTAATCGGGGGTGTTTCTATTTTTATTGTTTTATTGTCTTGGTTTTTAATTGTAAGCCACTCAGAGTCACCCCCTGGGGGAGATGGGCGGCATAAAAATGTAATAATAA